TGACTTTTCTGAATAACATATACTAAGGTAATTCTTATCTGAAAAAAAAAAAAATTTTGATGAAAAATGAATTTTTACAGTAATTTTTTCTTTTTTTTCTATTTTAAATACACAATATGACAAAATGTTGTTATATATTTTAAAATTAAGTTTCTTTATAAAGCCTTATGGAAATGACATATTATGTTCTCTACTTCTTATAGATCATAAATTTGAAAGCTTATTAAAATCTGACAACCGTGAATATTTTTAAAATAATTTTTTAATATTCCAAAATTGTATTTAAAATCGTCTCCAACGAAAGTATGGATGCACAACTTTGAAATAACGTCACGTGAGGTAGAGTTGTTTCCCTAGATAGAAGCAAGTTTTTTTACTTCAGAAATTACTTTGCATTCATTCAGTTAACAACAAAGCAAAATTTGAAATCGATTGCATAGCATTTCAATATTAATTTTGTTAATAAATAAAATATGTATAACTCAATTTAAAAAAATGTTGTTACTGTTTCATTTTTACTTGTAAAATTTGATTTTTTTTCACAATTTAAATGTTATTTTCAGTGCAGAAATTTTTCTTCAAACGTTAAAAAAAAAAATTGAAAGTTATTTTTTTTTTTTTTTTTTAATTTACTAACCAGGTTCACTTAAAATTAGAACGAATTACATCACTTCTGCGCTACCGTACGATAAATTCCCTTGACATAAGTTGTCAATATATTGACACCCATCAATTAAACCCTTCAATCACGCATTCGCACGAGTACCACGGTTGGAAATATCTCCATTAAAAAATTTTCTACTAAAAAAGTAAGTAATGTTTCTTTCAAATTACATTAAGTATACTTTAATCATTCTAAATTTCCTAAGATGACAAAAAAAAAGGTGTAATTGAATTTTAATTGATTTTTTTAACTAATTTTGATTTTTTTGTTTACAGAATTCAGCCAGAAATGGCCGATAAGTCGAATTTACTAATTTTTTTTTTATTCAAGAAAAACGAATTCTTTAAAAAAATTTTAAAAATTTATAGGAAGGATTAAAAAAATCTGAAAAAATATTCAAAAAATACTTTGGTCTTCCCTCTTTGATTTTAACATAAACATTTACACGTTAAAATTTTTTTCATCGATTTGGGGACCTTTTTTCTCCAGGGTATACCACTTTTTTAGCGTTACCTGGGACAAGCCTATACTATTGTAATAAATATGTTTATTTATCGAGAACATATTAACGAAATATTTAAAATTGCAATAGTTCATTTACCCGACACATTGTGATTCACGATATAGGAAGAAAACTACGGTAACAATGAATTCATCTATATTAATATCTAAAATAATTTCATCCTCCTTGGATTTACCAATTCGGTTTACCAAATTCTTCATAACTTAACTATATATATATAACCACTTATTTACTTTTATGAAATTAATTTTGTACTGCTTAATGTTTATATTAGTTAACACCAGAACTCCTTGAAGAAATCAAATCCTCATTTTTTTTTTTTTTTTTTTTAAAACAGGATCCCTTGTTACCAAAAATATGCACTGAATTATAAACTAAACCAATGCAATAAAAAAGACATTATTTAATTAGATATATTATGAATACTACTGTCTTAAGAACAAAAATTTCCAATGAATAATGAATTTTTACTAGAATTTCATTTTTTTTTTTTAATTTAGAATAATTTATAAAATTTCAAATTACTTTGTACCAGTTAGGTGATATTGTTATTAAATAAAAACTATATTTACTAACCATAAATTGACCAATAATTTAAGATTTTTGATTTTTTTTTTTTTTTTTTTTTTTTTGTATAAATGTGCCGAATTTTGTAAATATGGAAGTCTATACACAACATTATCAGAAAATTATATAACTATAGTAAATTTGTAGCCAGAATTCAGTAAAAGATTGCAGAGAATATTTTTACAAATTTTCAAGATTAATGGATAGTTAAAAATTATATAAAAAATGTGCTCATATTATATTCCTCAAGTTATTTTTGCAGATATCTTCACAGTAGAAAAAAATTAGACAAACTTCCATCTGTCAGTCAACTTGTCAACACTTTAAAGAAACAGCTATTACCATGTTAAAAAATGCATTTCTGCAATATTTTAAACTCAAGTAATATTTGTTTGAAATCAGATGAATTAAACTTTAAATAAGCTAATATTCTTCAAATAAAGTTTCAGAAAAGTACATATTGTTATTTTTGAAAAAGTTTTTAATAAATAAAATTATATTGTGATGAAAGATGACTAAAAATGACACTAAAATCAGCAATTTTTGGAGATTTCAAAACAAAATCTCTTTCCAGTCAATCAAAATTACTTTTCAAATACAGGAAAGTATTTTGCTTATTGGAAATATTAAATTTAATCTATTAGCTTGAAATTAAAACTAAAATAAATGGTTCAAGAAAGATTTTTCATTTTTAAAAATTAGGTAGCCTGTTTCTGTGGAGATACCTACTTCAGTGGGAATTTGTAAAAGGTGTGTCAAAAATGACAGGTTTTCCCTTGACACTGCTATTATTTTGTATTGCATTCACTCCATCGGCAACATTTATTTACAAGATTATAAAAATGTGTGAACCAAGTACAATGCCATGTTTATTATTTATTGTTTATAAAGAACGATTTATTATTTATGATTTTATAAAGAAATAAATGTGAAAAGAAAAAATATTTTAAATAATTACAGAATTATCAAAATATATAAACCATCTACAATGCAATATTTATTTTATTTACTTTTCATAAATTACTATGAAAACAACTTTTTTATTTATAATTTTATGAAAGTTTCAAAGAATTGCTTACATAAAAGAAATGCACTGAAAATGCATTCTTTCAAAATTTATAAACAAATAATGAGTAACTGCAATTACAGTTGCTTGTCATTATCTATTTATTTAAATTTTCTTGTTCAGACATTTTTCATAAATTTATGAATAAATATTTTTAGATTTATTCCTTTATAAATTGTTAAATGATAAACAGTGCATTGAATTAGCTGGCTTACATTTTTTTGAAAGTCATAAGCATAATATTATTCTTATTGTAAATAAACAATCTAATAGTATTTAATAATATTCTTGTTGTAAATTCTCAAAGGACAAAGAAAATTTATAAATTTATTTTATTAAAATTCTAAATATCACTTTTTAAAACAACAAACATTGCCAAGGTAGTTAACAGTGTCAAGGGAAAAAATCGACTTTTTGAAACATCATTTTATTGCAGGTACAATGATTAAAGATTGCCAAGTACTAAATGTTTATGTATTACTATCAAATATTTCTCTGTGATATTTCAACTGGTGTTAACTCCATTATATTCATTATTAATATTGATTGAACACAAACAATAAAATTTGATTTTTGACTTAATCATCATGATTATCACATAATTGATAATCATAACCATCTTTTAATTGCTGATGTGCCCTGGTCCACCCTGACCTGCATTGGTAGCACCTGTTAGGGTCCCAGCTATGGGCAAATAATGACTCCCCCCTCCCCCAAAAATCACTATGAAAGGATAAAAATATATTTTTATATTAAAAATACCAGGTGTACATTTTATATTAAAAAAACACCAACAATACATTTTATCTGTAGCTGAAAGCATACAGTTGCATTCAAAATATATTTAATTGAAGCCATAAAAGTGTTGGCATTAAATAACACATGAAGGTTGACATGCCACTAAACAAAATCAGTCAACCATTTAGCAGGTGAAGGCTTGACATCCTTTTATTTGTTAAATTTTAGTGTGAAAAGTTCTGATATTTTGATGAATAATACAATACCCTTTTGTTTCTGATAAATAAAACTTAAGTGGAATAGAAATTTTCTGTATTTAGATTAGAGTTTTGTTTTTTAAACAGTTCATCCCAAGGAAGTTGATATTGCCACTAATATGCAAATTGTTACTGGGAGTGAAAGAGAATGATACTTTAGAAGGAACTGGAAATTCAATCCTAAACAGAAAACAAGGGATAAACCTATACTCCCGTTCAAATGACTTGGGTGGAGTGTAACCCAGATGATAAGCAAACCTATTCATCCCATTGAATAAAAAATAAATAGTAGATAATATTTTTAGGAGATGTTAGAGTTGAAATAAATTTTTAGAAGGAACCAGAAACCCAATTCTAAACAAGAAACCAGAAATAAACTGCTATTCCTGTTCAAAAGACCAGGGTTGAGTGTGAACTGGATATATATTCTGTAAATCTCATAATGAGTATGTTGCTTATGGTGATATACAGAAATAAACTCCATAGATAGGAATTAACATTTATATTCACTATACAGCTCTTGTCCCAATCAACAGTTTCCTATTGAAAGAAATAAAAGAAAATATATCCTGCCATTAATTGAAAAAAAATGTATGCAGCCACTACTTAGAGTGCCAACTGCTAGGCATCTCTTGACTTGCTGTTGAGTCCATGTTTACTATTTAAACTGGTCATCATTCTCTGCACAATCACAATTTCTTTCAAGAATGGCTGGCTGAAAAGTGATGAGTGTGTAGTGTGCGGTATGGAGAAATGCATTTATGTGTTGTAAAAGACCAATCTAATTCTGAGTATCTGTTTGTCTGTGAAGGACTAGTTCTTATAGAGATCCATGACTCAAGTGTTCTGTAACTCAAAAAAGGTTATGAATCACTGGACTAGAGCATTACTGTATAGAGTTTAGGTGACCAACTAAAGACCAGTGGTGACTATAGGTCATCAATGTTTGTTGGGCGCGTTACAATTTTTAACAAAATATGTGCATGTTTATGAATAGAGGGATTTTTTCCTGACAAAAAATGTAAAATTTCTGTATTTCTGAACAGTAATAGCATTGATTTTCTTCATGACATGAATTATGTGACATATATTGTGACACAAACATGAATTACATATTGAACAAGAATTATATTTTGCAAATAATTAATAAGTTTTTTTTTCTTGATTGACAGATATCCATGCTTATGTCCACATCATGTTGAAACACTGGTTCTCATAGGATCACTGAAATGAAGCAATATTGAGCCTGGTCAGTACCTAGATGGCTGACTGCTTAGGAATACCAAGTGCTGTATGCTTGACTATATGAATGGTGTAATGGATAATGACTTGGTATTGTTAATCGGAGAGCCAAGTTCCAATTCCCGTTGGGTTCATTATATTCACTTATTGCAAATATTCTTGGTAAAAGCATGAATCCACCTCTTCAATTTCCATCTATGGATTAATTCATAAGACTTGTAGCACTAAACCATTATTATCTCAAAAACAAGAAAAAAGATATTCTTGCAATCTAAAAATATTTTCTGGCTTTAAACTGCCAAGAGTTGATAAGCCATAGAAAACAAATCAAAAAAATATTCATAATCATGGAGAAATAGCAATTCTCACATTCGAATCGACAGATAACATCATTTTCAAATCCTCATTCAAATACACATTAGATAGTAAAAACTCCTCTTGTCAAGTGGCCAGATTAGTTTTATAAAAGAAGTTAATTTTGAAAAGAGACATAGAAGCACACACTGAAAAGAAAAAACTTGCATAAAAATTTTATTTATAACATAAACATGAATTATGTGACATACTGCAATTCATTGAAACACTACTGGATTATCTTAATTGTATTTTTCAAATAATGCATTAGTTCCTAGTTTCTTTAATAATGTCTTCATTCACAGATATCAACAGTCATGGATACTAACAATTTTCACATTTGAATAGACATATAAAATCTTGTGCCAAAAAACAGAAAAAATTCTAACAAACATATGAATCTACATTTTGACAGCTTTCATGTTTGAATAAACACAATCACAAAAAAAGAGAATTTTGTACCAAGTTGTACAGGAGCAGTTTTGGGAATTGATACTCCCAAAGACTAATGCAAATTTAAACTAGAGAGTAACACTCCTCTTGTGAAGATGGCAGATCATCTTTTTCACGGAGTTTAAATTTTAAAAGAGACATGTAAGCTCACACTTGAGAGAAGACATTTTTTTGTCAGTTGTGTGGATCAATATTTTCACATTTAACAGTACAAATGCAAACACATACAAGAGAGAAACCATATTTATGTACAGTGTGTGGATCAAGATTTGATCTTAGTTCCACACTGAAAAAACACATGCGAATACACACGGGAGAGAAAAAATATTCTTGTGAAGTTTGTGGATCAGCGTTTTCACAGACTTGTCATTTAAAAAATCACATGCGTATTCACACTGGAGAAAAACCATATTCTTGTAATGTGTGTGGATCAGCATTTTCAGTGAATACCAGTTTAAGAAATCACATGCATATACATACAGGAGAAAAACCATTTTCTTGTCAAGTGTGTGGATCAACATTTTCACAGAAATCACATTTAGAAAAACACACACGAATACACACAGGGGAGAAAAAATATTCTTGTGAAGTTTGTGGATCAGCTTTCTCACAAACTTGTCATTTAAAAAACCACATGCGTATACACACTGGAGAAAAACCATATTCTTGTCAAGTGTGTGGATCGACATTTTCACAGAGTTCACATTTAAAAGTACACATGAGAACACACACTGGTGAGAAACCTTATTCTTGCACTGTGTGTGGATCAGCATTTTCAGAGAATTCCTGTTTAAAACAACACCTGCGAATACATACAGGAGAGAGACCATTTTCTTGTCAAGTGTGTGGATCAACATTTTCTCGGAAGTCATATTTAAAAGTACACATGCGAACACATACTGGAGAGAAACCTTATTCATGTACACTGTGTGGGTCAACATTTTCAGTTAGTTCCTCACTGAGGAATCACATGCGAATACATACAGGAGAGAAACCAGTTTCTTGTCAAGTGTGTGGATCAGCATTTGCAGATAATTCCTGCTTAAAAATACACATGAGATTACATACAGGAGACAAACCATTTTCTTGTGAAGTGTGTGGATCAGCATTTTCACAGAATTCACATGTAAAAACACACATGCAAACACACTGGAAAAACCCTGTTCATGAGCACAGTGTGGGACAGCATTTTTAGATCTGAACTTTGAAAACTATACATAATAGATACTCTCTAATATGGACATCATAAGTAAAACTGTGTAAGACTTTGCAGTGAAGAAAGGTTTTAGTTTAAATTTTTCTTTCTCAGTAATTTCACCCCAAGAAAGGTGATAAATCCAGTAAGATGCAGGGGTGAGATTACTGCAAGTGAACAAATCTGTAGAAAACTTCATTGAGGAGAGAGGAAAATAAAAGAACGGTTTTCAAGGAGACAGATGATGATTGAAGTTGCATTGAAAGTTTTCAAGATCATAGTTGATAAGAAGGCCAAAAGGAAGTTCCACAAGCAGGAAGTCTGAGAGAAGAAACTATTGGAACAGAACTTAGTTACATGTAAAAAATTCACCCATGAAATAATGAAACCTAGCTGCCAAACTGATTGCACTCAGATTTCTGAAAAGCCAAAGAAGAAATCTAATCAGAATTACATGAAAATATATATAAAAAGTCACAGGGAAGTTACAGTGGTCGGAAATTGAATGAAGCCAAGATGCTAAATCAGGACCAGTAACATTGCAGATTCTGCAATTTCTGGAAAGTTATCAACTATAATAGATGTTTGAACATATTTTCTCATCTCAAGATTTTAGTCAAGAAAAGGCTCCAACTTTGTATGATTTTATACCAATTCATCTAATTGTAACATTTGGATGATAACATGTCAATTGATATTTGAATGAACTCTAAATAAACTTTTGATTGTTGTAACATTTTTTGACTCCTTGTTTTGCCATTTTATTCTCATGTCTTTCATATGACTTGTTATTTTTTTAATTATAGAAATTCATAATTCTCAGTTTGAACTCTTATCTTAATAGAAGTTACTTTTCTGAATGCTAGTTAAAACTGAATCCTTAGATGTAGGTTTAAAGTACATCCCAGATTAGCTGGGAATGTCCTTCTTTAAAGGATATATTCAAACAAACTGTCAGTATTTTTCTTTTTCTTGATTATCTCCTGTTAACTTATTTGGTTGCAGAGAAGTAGGTAGTGGGAGAATTTATCCTTAAAGGCTATCTCTACAGTCGTATTACATTAAACATTGAAAGGCCAAAAGAAATTGGTGGATTAAATTTTGTGATTTTTGTCAAAAGAGAAAAATTATAGGAAAAATTTTTTGTACGTGGGAAAGATGAGAATTCCAAGTATTTTTTGTTCAAAACACGAGAAAGCCAAAATGTTTCGCTGCACTTTAAAATAAATGTGACCAGATAAAATTCATGTTTGCATGAAAACCATATATTATATAATAATGTTATATAACTTATACAAGGCTTATGCATTTTTTGCACAAAATAAACCCAAATCTTTGTTCATGATTCATGTCATTTAAGAGTTACCTCAACCATTAAGTTCTTAATTTCTGTTCCCTTAAGACATGCTATCTCATGGTTTGGTGCCATAATTTTTAACAAGAAACCAAATTCCACATGTATGAATTATGTTTAATAAAACTTGAATTGCAAAACAAGTTATCGTAATTTGCCACAATTTATAAAATTTACTACAATTTAAAAAACTTGATTTACGATGGATAAAATTTTGAAGCCTGAAAGGTTTATGCCAGACCCAACTTCCCCTGTAGTTGTGAAAGAGTGGAGATTTTGACATGGAATGTTGAACAACTATTTGGACTCAATTCAGGAATTATTACTGGACAACTTAACTTCTTTGGTGAAATAGAATGTTTATCACCATTATGCACCTCACAATTTAAATTCCACTTTTATGCTGGATGAATTGATATACTTTCCATTTTTGGAACAAAAAGAATTGCTTGAATTGGCAAATGGGAATACTGTTTATATCACATAGAGCTGAAGTAGGAATAGCACTTTTATTTTATGGCATTGATTCCATTTACATACAACCTGCAGAAGCATCATCAATGAATAGGAATATTGCCAGAAATCAACTAATCTGGTATATTTCATCACAATTGCCTGTGTCTGTCTTGTTTTACACGAACAGTCTGGCAGCCTCTTACCTTGAATATCAGAACAATTATCCCCAGTGGCATCTTGTGTATAAGCACTGTGGAATTGCACTTTGAGGGTTAGAGCTAGTGGGACTAAGGAATGTTCATCTGAGAATTTTCCATGGAAATAGCAATAGAGCAGTGAGAGACTTGCAATGTTTCACCTGAGAAAAAAGCTGTATGTGCATACAAACTGCTAGTAGGGGTAATTATTCTGGTATTCAAGATTGAGCAAAATTGTTGTGTATATATATATATATATATATATATATATATATTATTACGCCGGGGTTTCGTTGGGACTACGATAGCAGGGACGCAAACGAAAAAAAAAAAAAATAAGAGATCCCAAGGTTCGATATAAAAAAAAAGAAAGAACGTTGGGAGGGGAATTCTCCATTTCGGACGTCGGTAAACGCAGAGAAAAATGAACAATTCGCAGACACAGAACAACAGAAGACAACACGAGAATATATAATACAAAGATTTTATTTCTAGAATACACGGAGTGTGAATATAAGAAAAAGAAAACTAATAGAATGGGGAGATAAGTTACTAATTAAACAAATATTAATGCGGCGAAATACATACGAATACGGAAATAGCAGATTATAAGATATGGAAAAACATGCAGAAACTTACATAAGGTTGGAATCGACGTCGATTGACAATTATCGTGGTACAATTTGTTCACAGGATATTTATACACTTCTTTGAAAGTAACGAATGGGATTGACAATGTTCTAACATGAATTCTTGACTGGCGACGTCCGATTCGTGTTGATGGCGAGGAGAACACACAGAAAAATCACGGGAATGTAGCCGACTTGGGTTGACGATGTTGATCTACAATCTCGCGTCGGTCCTTTGGTTTTTGGTGGCATCTAATTCTTTTAATGGCGAGTATCTAAGACTGGTTTTTGGTGACGTCCGACTCCTCCGATAGCCAGCAACTATATATGGTTGTTGTTACCTCAACACGTGCGAAACGAAAACTGCCATATTTTGAGTCACGTGTTGGCCCCCCAAAAAAAAGGTATGCGTCATT